TTGATTCTGGTATGCACATAAATAAGAAACAAACATATTTGAGTTACAACTTGCTTAATCCAATCTGATTAACTCAACATGTTTAGTTCTTTAAGTTTGTTCCTAGCACTACTTTCTTGATCTCATAGTCTTAACCAAATAAGTTGAAAAGTGCACATCCTATCTCTAGAAGATGATAGTTATAATCATGTTTAGTTCATGTGAAGGCAGGCTGAACAAGTTTTGAGGCGGCGGAGTTTGTGCATGAGAACCAGCAAGCCAACAACGATGCACATATATTACCTCGTAGCTTGACTTATAGTCCGGTGGGTAGGCATCTTTGGTTTCTAGATCCACCTGATGGTGTTTTTAATTCTTATTCCTTTAATTCTTGAATAAAATGGGGAGACTTTCTAAAAAACAGAACTCTCTTAAAAAATCAGAGTTCTCTATTTAAATAAACAGCTAAAACCCCTAAAAAAAGGCTAAAAATTAAAATATTTCGGTAGAAGTTTTTTCAGACTAAAAACGAAGACTTCAAAAGCCACATTATTCTAGGAGGCCGATAAAGCGCGACCGGTGGATCCACCCCGCGCACGTCTTCCTAATTGCACCACCCCTGCCTCCTCCCCCGCCCCCTAACCTCTGTCGTCCTCGCCACCGTCCCCGCCCCTGCCCCCACCATCGGCGGCTGACAGCTCCCACCACCTTGCCATGCCACCCACCCCTGTCCCTCGTTGTCGCCCACCCTAATCCTAGGGCGTCGGTGAGCTCTGCCGCGACGCCCCTGCCGCCAGGCCCGCCCAACCGCCGTCTCCCGCCGTCTCGCCGCCTCCACTACCATGTCACGACTACCCGTCGTGTAAATAACTTTGCGATGATTCTAACCTGCAATGGATGGTTCATCTAAACCTTACCAAGAAATCGCAGGGAGCAACTCAGAAACAGAATGATGCAGCTCCAGCCGCGTTTGAATACGAATTTCTGTTCACTTTTGACTTTCTAAAACCATGGTTAGACTACTACAGTAGCTTTTTGTGCGTTTTTATCCAGCTCGTGTTCCCTTCACGTATTAACGCTCAAATAGATTTGTGTTTTATGGACTGTATTGATATATGCCCAAAATCTCAACATATATTTGCTACACCAGGTGAATTGTGTGACTTACTCCCTCAGCAGTCAGCTCCCCTCAGAAATAACTATCCTTTTTGGAATGCCGCTGCAATTAAGATTAGAATTATGACCATTTGAATATTTCGAATGAACTTTCAAAATGGTATGTTACAGTTTTTTTTTCAAAAGTAGCTATAAATATTATAAATAATTTTACCACTTATGAGTTAATGGTAAAAAGAAGCAGTGTCAGTTATCGACGACTGAAAGAATTACTAAACAGTTTCACATGCACCTAAATACTTATTTTTCACAGTAGAGTTTGGCTTTTAGTATGCACTATGCAGTTTCTATGTAAATGCAAAACTATATGAAAGACTATAAAATCAGTAGCATATACAACAAAAAATCTCTTTAGAGAAAAGAATCTAATACCAGTTGTAAAAATATTTTTTGAACAAAGCACATAGAACTAGTATGTGTTACACCCATCTAAAAATATAAACGTATTTAATTTAATTTAAGAAATCCTAACTTTTCTTAAACAAAATACAGAGATGTACTTTGGACATAACCAACTATATATCTCTGTGAATGAACACTTGCACATGCTTCCCCAAGCTTTGAACTTCAAGAGACTAAGTTGGAAAATCTTAGAATTAATAAAATCACCACAAGTGTCTAATTAACTTAATAGTTACAGTGCCTACCACCAAAACAAACAATTAGCAAAAAATCCTAACATATGTGCTAGGTTGCAGACTCACATTCAGATGGGTTCCACCAAAAAAAAAAGACTAACCAACTAAGCTAAACCTGTGAGTTCACAAACCCGAGTATGTAGGTTTCACCCAAACAAACATAACCAGATGAGCATCTGGGTTGATCAGTTTTGCAAGTAAGCCTAATTTCATATATATGTGTCAAACATTTAGTAATTATGATGTTTAATCTCTGCTACCAATTATTAAAGGGAAGAAGGTTTCTTGGTCCATCATCCGACGAGGATGTGACAGACCCAATCTATTATTTGCACGTGCGAGTTAAACTAGCGCGTGTTCAAGTATGAGATAGAGTCTGACTCCAAAACGATTTAGAATACGGAGCATTTTCATGGTCTGTCACTCTATTTACATGCTTCTATGAGTTACAGTGTTCAACTAAGGTACAGAGTAGGATCCCGTAAGGAATTGAATTGGAAAGCAATACATAATCATTGATAAACTCTAGGCCTCGTGTACCCGTACGAGTTACAGTAGCATGCACCTAGGCACATCCAAGACGATTTGAAACACACGTGACGTAAACACTGAATAAATATTCGAGCTGCAAATCATCTAGGTGTACGCATCAAGTTTGCTAGATAGTCTATAAAACATACAACTAGATTTATTATATATGAAAATACTTCCATTCTATATTCAGTTTTGTTCTACAAATGATAAATCTTGTAAAACCTAGCCAAATAAGTTACTGCCTCCTGTCAACAAATAACAAGTGGCATTTTGTACATCTCAGTGCGGTCTTACCGTGGTCTCTACTAGTGCCTTTTTTGTAAAATATTTATAAAAATAGAAAATTTATTTACTCTTGCGAAACTACAATTAGAGGAAAATCTCATTACCGGAAACAGTCGCTTTGCAGAGTGTCACAAGCACTCGGTAAAGCCCAAAAAACACTCGGCAAAGGGTTTACCGAGTGTAACACTCGGCAAACAGCACACGGCATCTACAGTTGCGGCAAACGGCTCTTTGTCGAGTGTTTTCTATCGGACACTCGGCAAAGACTTTGCCCAGAGCTGAAACCGACGCTCGGCGAAAAAAAGTAACGTGATGGAGCGGAGACGGTCACGGCCCATTTGCCGAGTGTCAAATCTCGGGCACTCGGCAAACTTTGCTTCTTTGCCGTGTGTCCCAGTCCAGGCACTCGGCAAACACTTCCTTATGACACATAATTTTGGCTTCTTTGCCGAGTGTCATAGCGCAGACACTCGGCAAACTATTTTAGTCCCAGAATACACAGAATTTTGCCACGTGTATACTTTGCCGAGTGTTTTAACCCTGGCACTCGGCAAAAGGCCTCTTTGCCGAGTGTTACACTCGGCAAAGCTGCCACAAATAATCAATTTATTAGGTTCGGTCACAGCCACGTACCACATTCAAATAAACATCACATCCATCACAGATAGTTCACAATAGGCATCACAGGCAGTTCATATAGATATATCGACAACACATAAATGCAAATAAACTTCAGAATCACAAGTAGGTTCATTCACAACCACAAGTAGTCATAGGTAATCCACAAATGCAAATACAAATAAAATCATAAGTAGTCACTTAGGCCACGAGTTCCACTACGACAGGGCTAGGTCATGAGGCTCATTCGATGCCGCTGATTGATGCTGCACAAAGGAGAAGAGATTGCATGTGTAAGACAAGATTAAACAACACGTATGGTCTCTCTGCTGCCTAACTAGTATAACCCTTACAACTATCAGCAATATCTTCTCAGTTGCATTGTACTCTAGTATGATTGCTTAAGTACCAGTTGGTAACAAACAAATAGCATTAGTCACTAAGTTTCTAGTGTCTTGGCATTTTTATAAAATTGATTCTGCATAAACTAGATTATAAGGTTGTAAAGTGACTCACAGTGCCTGAAACAGTATTTGGAGCAGGTTGAGGAGGAGAGACTGGAAACGGTGGTGGAGGTTGACCGATTGTAGCATAAACACCCCTCATATATTCAAACATCTGTAGCTCCATCCTCTGTTTATAAGGTTGTAAAGTGACTCACAATGCTGAATAAATCTTCTAGCTGCAAATCATGTAGGTGTACGCATCAAGTTTGCTAGATAGTCTATAAAACATACATCTAGATTTATTATATATGAAAATACTTCCATTCTATATTCAGTTTTGTTCTACAAATGATAAATATTGTAAAACCTAGCCAAATAAGTTACTGCCTCCTGTCAACAAATAACAAGTGGCATTTTGTACATCTCAGTGCGGTCTTACCGTGATCTCTACTAGTGCCTTTTTTGTAAAATATTTATAAAAATAGAAAAATTATTTACTCTTGCGAAACTACAATTGGAGGAAAATCTATTCATATTATTTGCAATAATTAAATTCGAATATTTAAGTTTATTATTGTTGACTTTTACCTAATTAAAAACATCGCTTATTCGTGCCTAGATTAATGTAATATTTTTGAATGGAGGAAGTAAATTAGTTACAAAATGATATATGCATGAAAATGATCTTAATCGGATATTAATTGCATGACAGCAACAGAGTCAAATGAAAGAAAAACTGTACTGCACATCTGTCGATCGAGCAGCAGCCGGCGCGGCTCCGGCGGTTAACTAACCACCCTGATGACGATGAAACTTTGTGTTGTGGGTGTGTGATGCAACTATACTCGAAAACCGCCCAAATGGAGCACACCTACGTACCTGCGAGACTCCCAAGCACGAAACCTCTAGTAGAAAATATAAATTCATCGATCGAGCTGATGCATGTAATGCAACAAGGTCTAACTAGGACGCACCACCAGCTCAGCATGTACAGCAATTGCTCGCCAGTTGATCGTCTGCAATTTGGCGACCATCACAAGCAATTCCTTCGCAGCATTGACTAGCTAGCGATCGATCCCAAAGTCATCTCACAAGATTGATTATTCTCGTCCTCATCCAATCATATCAGAGCTGCTATAGAAATTCTTATTGTGAAGTCGAACGCATGAAGCGATATGGGAGATCGGCCGGATGTATAAATAATACATGTACTTGCTAACCATGCAAGATATTCGAGAGTAGCCGTACTGCAACTGCAATTAGTATAGCTAGCTGCAGGAAGAGCATTTTGATAATATTTGGCATTGGCCGCAACCATCTAGCCATGCCGTCGCTTCAAGCGGTGATGGTGCACGGCGGTGAGGAGAAGAAGGTGGGCGCCACGAATGGAGCGCCGCCCACGTACACGCCCCATACTCTGGTGAGCCTCCTCCGGGCGCGGTCGGAGCGGAGCACCAAGGCCGAGGAGAAGGTGGAGTGGGTGCGGTCGCAGCTCGTCGGCCACGACGCCGAGTTCGAGACGCCGTTCGGCCGCCGCGCGCTCCTCTACGCCGACCACACCGCCACCGGCCGCAGCCTCCACTACATCGAGGACTACATCCTCAAGAACGTCCTCCCCTTCTATGGTCAGCGTGCATGCCTCTTCACTGCCCAAGCAACACCATCGATGCATGAGCATGGGCATGGCCGCATGCGTCTCGATCATCATAAACAGGAAGATGTTGTCGACACTACATGACAGATGCATGGCTGTATGTGCAGGGAACACGCACACGGAGGACAGCTACGTGGGCAGCAAGACGACGCGGATGGCGAGGAAAGCGGCGAGCTACATCAAGCGGTGCATGGGCGCGGGCCCCGACGACGCGCTGCTCTTCTGCGGGTCGGGCGCCACGGCGGCGGCGAAGCGGCTGCAGGAGGCGATCGGGGTGGCGTGCCCGCCGGCGCTGCTGCGGGCGCGCGCCGGCGCCGCCTCCGCGCAGCAGCTGCTGCGCGCGGAGGAGCGGTGGGTTGTGTTCGTGGGGCCCTACGAGCACCACTCCAACCTGCTGTCGTGGAGGCAGTCCCTGGCCGACGTCGTGGGCATCGGCGCGGGTGCGGGCACCGACGGCGACGACGGGCTCGTCGACCTCGCCGCGCTACGGCGCGCGCTGGTGTCGCCCGAGTACGCCAACCGCCCCATGCTGGGCTGCTTCTCGGCGTGCAGCAACGTCACCGGCGTGCTCACCGACACCCGCGCCATCGCACGCCTCCTGCACCAGCACGGCGCCTTCGCCTGCTTCGACTTCGCCGCCAGGTACGTGTTGTACTCTCTAGGTGCCTGTCCACGATGTATAGAATAGTAGTTTGCATTGAGGTATAAACTTCGATCAAGTTCTTTTTTTACATATATATGTATACACTTCTAAAATTCACGGTTGCACCTCAGCTAGAAATTAAGAATTGTTCAGGTTTTCTTTGTTTGTAGCCGTGAATTTCTAGGCTCGTACGTGACAGTCGTGACAATATATGAAGTATGAACACACAACTTAATAGTCTGACACGCATGCATGATGGCCAAAATTAAAGTCCTTGCAGCTATACAGTTCAATTCCAAATGCAGGCAGCAACTCTCGTTTTGTCAATGTGCTATAGAATATATACGTGAGGTTTGAAACTTGACGCCATAGAACAATTAGTGCAAATGTAAGCACCTGTATCAGAACGAAATTCAGTCCACACTGCATTTCTGCAGTTTGATCCATATTCTGCAATCCGGACCTGATGAACAGAAAAATCAAGCGTCATTCTTTGAATAGTAATTACAACTAGGCCAATTTGATTTCGTGATTTGATTTCCTCACCTGCAGCTAGGGATGAAAACGGGCAGAAAAACTCCTCTCCCATTTCCGTTTCTATATTTTTAGCGGAAACGGGATCAGGTTTAGGAAAAAAACGAAATTAAAAACAGATGGGATATACGGAAATACGGAAACAGAGGAATACGAACGGGGAGACGGGAAAATAAGTTAGAATAACATGATCAAATATTCTTGAGTATACATGAACAAAGTCACAAAAGAATATACACGTACGAAATTATCGATCCAATATTCAATAGTATATCGTGTGTTAACATGCATAATTTGTGATTAGTAGATTTATGAATATATCAATTTCTAGACATATCTCACATAGATTGAAAACGGAAAGAAAAACGGAATAAATATGAGTCAATTCTGGATAAAAACGGGATCTCGCGGAAACGGACGGAAAAAACCCTTTTCCGTTTCCGTAAATACGGAAACGAGATCCCATAAATACGAAAACGGACGCAAGAAAGTAGAAAACGGAACAGGTCGGAACGGGATTTTTTCTGTCCGTTTTCAACCTTACCTGCAGCTGCAGGCGCGCCCGTTTCCTCCATCCTTGACATCAAAATTTGACAAATTTCGCCACCTGCTGCATGCTGCATGATGCTATCACTTTGACCTGCAGATGCCACCATCACGTATTGCATCTGTGTACCAACGCCATACGCTATCAAATTCATGGCTTGCCAGACTTATTATTATTAAGAACGCATCCATCACACGTTATATAGTAGTTAGGTGAAGTTGCTGAAATGTTTTCGCGTCTGGTTTCCGCATCGTTGAAGCAATCTCATACATATTTTCCTTGCCCGGCTTTGTTTTGTTAATTTTATTTCCAAGTCAATTAGAAGGAGCGGAAAGAAACTGAGCCAGAGGTTAGCATCGATCGCAAGTCCAGTTCGTAGCTCATATCCGACAGCGAAAGCCATTGACCTCTACCTGCTACATGCATACGCGTCACAACTCAGAACAGAAAACCCATCCGAACATAGCCTCGCTCTCTCATGAAACCACAAAGGCCTTCAATGGCCGGTGTTGCACTGCATACCTGTGCTCACGTTTCTTGCTCAGATGACATTGTGTCCTGCACTGCATGAGACATGCGTGAGTTGATCGTTGACATCCCCGTGTGTCTGAACAGCGGACCCTACGTTGACATCGACATGCGGTCGGGGGAGATGGACGGCTACGACGCGGTGTTCCTCAGCCCGCACAAGTTCGTCGGCGGGCCGGGCACGCCGGGGATCCTGCTCATGAACCGGGCGCTCTACCGCCTCGCCGGCATGCCGCCGTCCACCTGCGGCGGCGGCACCATCGCCTACGTCAACGGATTCAGCGAGGAGGTGAGTGAGGCCACCAACGACAATCGAGCCGCCGTGTGCTTCTGTACTTATTTGTTCATGCATGTAAATTCCAAATTAGGTACTACTAGTATAGTACAGGTTTTGATGAACCCGAATGTTTCGTACTCTGGTACTGCAATCATTAAAGCCGTGATATGCACGCTTGAACCATCGGAGTCACAACTCCGTGGCAGTACATGCATGACGATCCAGTCGCTGACGCACGTGTGCCGTACCGTACACCCGCATGCATTGCAGGACACGGTGTACTACGACGACATCGAGGAGCGGGAGGACGCCGGCACGCCGCCCATCGTGCAGAAGGTGCGCGCGTCGCTGGCGTTCTGGGTCAAGGAGCACGTCGGGCGCGACGCCGTCGCGCTGCGGGAGCAGGTCTACGCGGAGGCGGCCATGGCGCGGCTGCTCAGCAACCCCAACGTCGAGGTGCTCGGCAACGTCGCCGCGCGCCGCCTGCCTATCTTCTCCTTCCTCGTCTACCCGGGCGGAGAAGGAGATGACACCTCCTACGCGTCAGCGACCGGGAGCCCGCGGCGGCGGCGGCTGCCCCTGCACGGCCGGTTCGTCGCCAAGCTCCTCAACGACCTGTTCGGGATCCAGGCCAGGGGCGGCTGCGCGTGTGCGGGGCCCTACGGCCACGCGCTCCTCGGCGTCGGCGAGGACCTCTCGCTCCGCATCCGCGACGCCATCGTCAGGGGGTACCACGGCGTGAAGCCCGGGTGGACGCGGGTCAGCTTCGCCTACTACCTCTCCCGCGACGAGTTCCGCTTCGTGCTCGCCGCCATCGACTTCGTGGCCGCGCACGGCCACCGCTTCCTCCCGCTCTACAGCTTCGACTGGCCCACGGGAAACTGGGCGTTCCGCCGACGGACGTTCAAGCACCACGTCATGAGGGAGGAGCTGCTGCGCGATCACCGTGGCCGCCGCACCTCCACCACCACCGTCGTCGACGCCGATTTGGACGACGACGACGAGCAGTACTACCTGAAGAAGAAGACCACCGCCGCGGATCAGCAGCAGGCTGCTGGCTTGACCACCGACAAGTTTCAGAGCTACCTGGAGACTGCCACCAAGATCGCGCTGTCGCTGCCGGACACGTACCATGAACTCGTTGCGAGCGTGCCCAAGGGATTGGACCCCAACGTTATACTCTTTCGACTGTGATTATTAGCTAATAAATAGTATTAATTGGAACCAAATAAACCGATATCGATCGACAAAAGGTGTGCTCTAATCACTATACTGTACAGTGTGTATATATAACACTGAGTTTTTTTATTTGGAAACCAAAAGTATGGAGAGTTTCCGACAACGGAAAAGAACAAGTTTTTACGACTATAGTTCCTTATGTATATGCCCGTATTATATAATAATAATAAATATATATTAATCCCTCGACCAGGAATAAAATGGAGACCATCCAGGGCCTCATGTACTGTTCAGACATTTTTTATCGTTGTTCCCTTTACTGTGCACCACTGTTTAATTAGTACTGTTTCATGCTATTTATTTCTCTGTTTGTTACTGTTTAGCGGTTTATTACTATTCACTTTGCTGCTACTGCTCATATGTACTTTGTTCGTGTTTTTTTGCGCTGTTCATTAGCCTGCGCAGCGGAGCGCGTGTTTTGTATCATGACTATGAGTGCCGTAGACCATGAGGGAGTAGTAGAGTCCATGATGGACTGAACTGCTTGCAAGGTACACCAATTGAATTGCAGTTGTATACTCCCTCCGTTCTTTAAAATAATCAATTCCACCGAGTTTTTCTAAGTCAAATATTTTTAAGTTTGATCAAATTTATGAAAAAGAGCACCTAGATTTATAGCACCAAATTAATATTGTTAGATACACAATGAAATATATTTTCATCGTTGTTTATTTGATGTCATAAATAGTGTTGTATATTTTTTTATAAATTTGACCAAACTTAAAGAAATTGATTTAACATAACTCTAGGAATTGATTTATTCCAGGACTCAAGGAGTATTTAGTAGCTATATATATATAACTGCCAGTATACTGCTGTATCCTTCTTCCAAATATTTTGGTATATTTCATTTCAGTTCCTTAATCCACTTCCTAAACTGATCTGGAACAGAGCTAATGCATAGCTGTTTATATTATTTTACTGCTACATCGTATCGATATAATATTCAGTTGATAGGTAACAACTACTCCGCGCCACGCGGACCGGCAGGCTTTTGCATGACCTCAGAGCTCTGAATCTTTCTCAGAGTAAACGCGGCATGGCCATGGCAAGCAAGCAAGCAACCATTAAGGTCCAGTTTAGTTGCAAAAAATTTTGCAAAATTTTTCAAGATTTTCCATCACATCGAATTTTTAGATGCATGCATGAAACATTAAATATAAATAAAAAATAAAACTAATTACACAGTTTAGACGAAATCCACGAGACGAATCTTTTAAGCCTAATTAGACTATGATTGGACATTAATTACCAAATAACAATGAAAAACACTACAGTTGCATTTTGCCAAAATTTTTGGCATCTAAACCAGGCCTAACACTCGTTCATGCGGTCTCTCGTTGCTGATCACACTATCCAGGTCACACTGCTGACTCGATCTCTCGCTTGCAGATCACACTATCCAGGTCACGCTACACACCTGTTATAGTATAGTCATCAAAGCTGCTTTCTCGAGATAAGAGAGATACGTGCGTGTACGAAACAAGTCGGCCGGCCGCTAGAAAAACAAAGCAGTTTTCTGGAAACTTGGGAAATTTTTTACTGAAACGATGCCATCGGAGTTGGTACTTGGAAGAGTGAGGAGAACGGACCGGTGATTTCATCCAGTGCCGTCATCACGGCACGTGACCTCAACGGGTGCCTTCTTCCAGGAGGTTTGAAACTTTGAATGGTTCGGGTTTTTCTTTCAAACAAATGCTTTGAACCGTTCGCTGCTCAGATTACTCAATTATATTGTCCCCGAAAAGAGTGAACCGACTGTCACTGCCGGCCGTCGTCGCTGCTGGTTTGTATGAAACGGTTGTGATAAATCTTCAGTGCCGATTCTTAGCTTTAAAATTAGAAAATGATTGGGGTCCCCAAAAACCGACAGT